CGTTCCGGCACCTTTTTCCGGGCCGGCCGCACCGGAAATAGCCCCTCCCACACCGGAAATAGCCCCTCCCAAATTTTACTTGCATTCCTGTTCTCTAAAGGGGCGGTCCTAGGGTTTGATGAGGGCGTGGCCAGGTTTGAGTTCCGCCACCTTTTCTCCGAGAAAAAAAGCCCTGTGTATATATATATATATATATATACACACACACACATATCAAGTGAACTTGATGCCAGTTTTAAATTAGTCAGTTTTGTGCACGGAAAAGGATATGCAAAAGTTATAAATTTAATCCTGAATAACCACCACTATTTGAATGAAAAACATCACACAAATTTCAGCTTCTGGAAATAAGCTTCCCAGACAACTCCTAGAAGTTGGAAGTTCCTCTAGAAAGAGGGTTCTGCAGCTAGAACAAACAGAGACAGATAATTAGCAAATATTAAAGATAACATATTGCATGGTCAGAAGAAGTTCCATGCAGTTCAAAGGGCTATTTGAATTCAAACTAATGCAGATACGGGCATGATAGGATAATTAAAGAATAATGCATTTTTAAAAAAAAAAATCCAGAGTATCCAATCCACGGAATGAAAGAAACAAAACCTGCAATATGAGGAAGGACACTCTACCCATTTGACTTCCATTTATAGGTCACCTGTTTGACAGTTGTCCTGTTATGCTACAGACCTAGGCAATCCTTTTAACCCAAGGGTCCTATTACATCTGCTGAAGAAAGAACATGAGAAGGCCCCTCTCATTTACAGGAAGAGAACAGGAATGCATTAGTACCTGTTTACCTTGTTCCCCACCCCCGTTTTGGCATCTTCCCCAAAATAAAGTATTTTTCACAACCCAAAAAGGTTGCCCATCACAATATAGGCATTTTGAAGATATTAGAAGTTACCAGAAGAGAGTACATTAGAAAAACTGGGGCAGCTCTGAAGAAAGAGCATGCCAGAACATTAGCTAGTAGAAAATAACCCATATAATCTTACGAACTAAACTTTTCCTGGAAATATGCTCCTACTTTTATACTAATATTACAAAGCAAATATGAAGCTAGAAACCTTGCATTTGCCAGAAAACCTCTTGAATTTGGAACTTATGGGCTCCTGTCACTAGCTGTACCTAGAATTGGTCATATTGACTGGGACCACTAGGAACTGTAAATTAATACAAAGAGATCTTAATCCCTGATATAAAGGATGTATAATTCTCAAATCCAAAACACTTCTACCAAATACCAACAGAATACACATTAAAATCAGGCTCATTTTTCTTGAAATGTATTTTTTAATAGTACAGTCTTGTACATTTGGCATTTCCTTCTGAGAGAACTACACGTCCTATGATGAGATACGTAATTTATTATCCCTAATAACAAGAATAACAATAATGTAGTGACTTCAAACTAATAGCCAGCAGGATATGAATTATCTATGTTATTTTTTCAAGAATTCATTTGTCCACATTTTACTCTATTTATTAGCATTGAGTACTCTTACAAGAGAGCATATTATGCCTGTAAGGCATAAGGAATTTACATGAACAATTCTCATTAGTGTTAATGGCTATTCAATACCTACATAAATCCTCTGGGTACAGAAGCATGAGGGTGTCAGTGACAAAAATAAGCAGGAAAGATATTACCGTTGCCAGACAAAATATTGTATGTACAGACAGCAGCACGTGTTTTATTTGCCATCTAAAGTAGGTTTGCAGAAGATGAATAAACAGTGGGAATGCTGTGTTTGAGCATGCTATGTGCATTAACAAATTCTAAAAAACATTTGGATATTTCTATTTTAATTTAGTTAATATATAAAATATGATGGAGAAACCCATTTCCGGAAAAAATACTTTTGTCAGATACATTCTTATTCGTATATACATAGGTTACTTTTTCTTTTCCTCCTTTCCTCCCAATCTCTACAATTCAAAATTCTTCAGAACAGAATATTTGGTCTCTTTTCTCCATTCCATTCCTTCCATAATAACTTCTCTTAAAGGTTGTTAGGTAGAGTATCATCTTAGACATGTTGCATTAGATGTCCTCATTTACAGATTGCAATGGGAGGAAAAACACCAAGTATAAATAATTCAAAATCGACTGTACCAATGTGTGTTCTCTGAGCATTCGCCATTGGCAAAGCAGACGGATTATTTTTCACATTTAATTGTGTTGATACCTTATCTGCCCCATCGAAAGTGGAGAATGATATGTGAAACCACATGTACCCAGGAACAAATAAAGACAGTTACTAGATCCATTATTTAAAGCCAGAGTATGCTATCTAGACAATATTACTCTAGCACAATGCTAAAAAAGAAAAAGAAACAAAAGAAGAGAAAAAAAGACCAAACTTCTTATTATTTACTTTTGTAATGCTTCTCTATTACGATGTCAAACATGAAAGAGTTTAGTTCAGAGATAGGTTGCCTCAAGAAGTTCTGAACAGATTTAATAACTAGTGTCACAAAGAACTTTTGAATGCCACCTGGATACAAAGGAGGCCATTGTAATCACATCCTCTATAATAATAAACCAAATGGCTCTTTGCTCAAAATTTAAAGGCATTTAATCCAACATAAATGCTTTGGAACATCTTGCCTTGTTCTCCAACATGATGAAATGAGAGGGATCTATACCAGCATGTCATATTCAGCATTAGGGCAAATTGTGTGGCAAACAAATCTAATAAATAAATAAATATTGCTGAAAATTGGGAAAAAATCTACTCATATAAACCACTATTTTCTCAAGAGGAAAAAGCCTTGGCTTAGCATAATGTGTTTCTTTTAAAATCATGAGAATGCATAGCGTTGCCTTTTTATATGCGTGCCTCCTATTGACGAAGAAAACAAACTTACAAGGAGAAAACTAAACTTGCAAACTAGTTTATGTTAAGCATTGGAAACAAAAAAGTGCTCCAGTGCTAGCTGAGAACTTTTAGGGGAACAGCTTTCATTAACTGTAAGTATCAGCTTTTGTATATAAAAGAAAGCTAATTCAAATGACATACAAT